GGGAAAGATACATTATTAAGAAAAGTAGGAGTAAAGTTATAAAGTGTAGGGGAGGAAGAGGTTATTCCCGCTTGGGGGGTGAAGTGAGAGGAGAAAAATTTCAGGGAGGAGGTGGCATTTAGAGTCCAATCCTGAAAGCTGGGTCAGATTTCAATGAGCAGAGGTGAGGGGAAGGGTATTCTATTCTGAGTGAGTGAATGCATTCCCAGAATGACCAGTAGTCTCGTTTGGCTGGACACTGTGGGGTACACAGGGGGAAGCTGGTGAGATCTGGCTGCAAAGACAGATTGGAGTCAGATCATAAAAGGGCTTTAATGCCAGACATTTGGACTTTATCCCGTCGTCAGTGGGAAACCAGAACAGATTTTTTAACAGAAACTCACGATCAGAGTTGTTAACAGAAACTCATGATCAGAGTTGTGTTTTATGACACCCCAGCAAATCTTGTAAAAGGGAAACAAACACACACACACAAAGAGAAAGGGTCCTGCCCTGAATCAGCCCAAATCTGGAAGAAAATAAGAAATTAGACTCCAGAGTCTTTCTGGAACCAGTAGAGTTTCATTGCACATATCACAACCACAGAGATATTTGCATATGATTTGTATAAGACAAGTAAACCTCATGGCCTATTAAGCAATTTTCAAATAAAATTTGACTCCTGCAACCATTCTGCATTCCTTCTCAGCTTTCCACTATCCTCCTTAACAAAGCTCAAGGTACTTTCTGGGGAGAAATATCAGGCCCCCCGTGGGAGACTCGGAGAAAGGTGGAGTTACCAAACCACTTAGATTCCACCTGTCCCAGCTCCAAAATGATGCCTGAGGCAGGACTGCCTGCAAACAAATGAGGATTACACCACAGAAAAGAGCAGACTTGAGAGTGTTTCTCTCCTTGCAGATGGCACCAAGATAGCAGCACAGAAGGTGAAAACTGGTGAATGGCATTTAGAGACAAGATCTGCAAGGCCTGAGCCTGATAAAGCTTTTGCCTGAAATTCAAGTGCTCAGTAGAGAAAACACACATTTCCATTTGAAAGAGCAGGCTTGGTATTGGTCTGCTCTGGGCAGCCTTTAGGGTACAAGGGTTTCCAGTGCCCCACAGAATGCCACACCTGGAAGGCAGGCCCCAGTTTTTGTTTGTTTGTTTGTTTATGGTTTTTTATTGAAGTATATTTGATGTACAATATTATGTTACAGGTGTACAATATAGTGATTCCCAATTTTTAAAGGTTATACTCCATTTATAGTTACTATAAAATAATGGCTATATTCCCTGTGGTGTACAATACATCCTTGGGCCTGTCTTACACCCAATGGTTTGTACCTCCCACTCCCCCATCCCCTATAGTGCCCCTCCCTTCCCCCACCAGTAACCACTAGTTGGTTCTCTATATCTGTGAGTCTGCTTCCTTTTTGTTATATTCACTAGTTTGCTGTATTTTTTAGATTCCACATATAATTGACATCGTACAGTATTTGCCTTTCTCTGTCTGCCTTATTTCACTTAGCATAACACCCTGCAAGTCCATCCATGTTGCTTTAAATGGCAAAATTTCGGTCTTTTTTATGGCTGAGTGGTATTCCATTGTGGTATATATATACCACATCTTCTTTATCCATTCATCTGTTGATGGACAGCTAGGTGGCCTCCATATCTTGGCCATTGTAAACAATTTTGCTATGAACATTGGGATGCATGTATCTTTTTGAATTCGTGTTTTTGTTTCTTTTGGATATATACCCAGGAGCGAAGTTGCTGGGTCATACGGTAGTTCTAGTTTTAGTTTTTTGAGAAACCTCCATACTGTTTTCCACGGTAGCCACACTAATTTACATTCCTACCAATAGTGTACAAGGGTTCCCTTTTCTCCTCATCCTCATGGAAGGCTGTCCCTTTACTCAAGCTGTTCAGAGGACTCTTTCAAGATGTGGTACCGATCCTTTCCCTTCCCTCTTTGTAGATACTGTTCCCTCCAAAAGGGCAAGTTGTACATCTGTCAACAGGACCTTCCAGGAAAAGAAGTCACAGAAGGGCATATCCATTGGTTTGGTCTGCGGGCAGGGGAGAGGGAGGATGGTGGTGGGTTTCCAGACTTATTCTGTCTACTTATTCCCCTCAGGAGCCTCGGGCCTTCTTTTTTCTAGCACCAGCTGATATCTACCTTATTCTCCCCACTTTCCTTGTCCTCTTCTCCCCCACCTGTGCCTCTAATGCACTGCAGCACAGGGTTGGCCTTCACTTCTCCCAACACTCAAGCTGTCCCGATTACGCTTGGTTGAGGCATCTTTCCCCATACTGGGGAACAAAACAACAACCCAAATCCTATTCTGCTCCGCTTCCCTGCCACCCACCCTCCCCCTCAAAAAAAAATTCACCATCCTCTGGCAAAGAGAGCCTGCAGAAGGTCTGGGTCCATCATCCTTTGTTTACTGCATCAAAGATGGGGTCAGGGCCACCATGAATGGAGAGTTTAGGGAGCAGTGTCAACTGTTAAACCTAATCAGCCAATGGGCCAGTCTGCTTCTAGTGTGTGAGTATGATTAATTTATTGTCCCAATGTGATGGGGGGGCAGGTATGAGAGGAGGGAGAAAATTTTAAATTGTGGGCAAAGCTGGGAAGAAACACTTCTTACCCAACAACCCCCATCCAGACTTGGGAACACTGGGTAGGTGGTAAGCATTTTTTGCTACATAAAAATACTTAGCTGATAGTAAACCCTCCTCTTCATTAGGACCCAGATCTGGTGTTTACATATTGTCAGCTTCATTCAGGCCCCTGAAATTTCCACTCCTGGGTGTCTTCTAAGGACAGAGTCGCTGAACAATACCAGGCAACATTCCTTCCCTCCTCCACCTTCACCCTCACCTCCCTGAACAGTCTGCATTGTCAGGAGATCAAACCACAGGAGCTCCACAATGACAAAAGCTGTAAAGAGGCTGCCAAAGGCATAACCCCATTCACCAACAGCCACTGGAAGCCAAGAGGTAAGGTTCCTAGCTTAGGGCACTCAAGAGCTGAAGTCCCAGCTGCAGTAGACTCAGGAGGGGCCCAGGAAAGAATGTGAACTTGGGACATACACTCCTTTTGCTCCTTCCTCAGCCTAGGGCTGTCACCTGTCGCCCAGCTGTGGTGCTAAGCCCCTCCTGCCCCCCACACACACCAGAGAAAGAGAGCAGATGTTGAATTTGATCTGCAGGGAAGGACCAAAGCAAGAAGGGGGAAAAGGAAAGGGTGTTGAAAAAGGGTAACTGTGAGAACTGCCACTCGGAAGAGTACTCTAAGCCCTTTCCAGAACAAGGCAGGGCAGGATCTAACTTCAGTGGTGAGATTTTTCTGGGAACTATGGGTTTATATTTAACATTCAAAATCAGTATTTGGGAAAATATAATCAAAAGGAAAAGTCTTTATGCTGGCAGGTCCTTCACCTACACAGACCTCTCCAGTGTTCTTGACTTTCTGAAGCAGTTTCTCTGCCTTTCGTATTTCTCAAACACTCAATTAAGCTTTCTTGAGGGCTATGGTGTCTGCGAAATGTTACTTCTGCTAGAAAGACAGGCAGAAGGCTTTTCCAAAGTTTGCTCCATCCATAACCTTGAAATGTAAGAATCCTGAAGACGCGCCCATAAGTCATGCAGGGACCCACAAGTGGAGACTTTTACATCGATATTAAACCAATAAGATTTCAAAAAGACTCAAATATCCCCATAGGGGGGCCTCACCTTCTGCAGTCTCGCCACCTTCTCATAGCATCCTTCCAACTCCTGCCGCAAGTTCCGGTTCTCATCTGAGAGAATCTCAACCATCTGCTGGGCTCTGGAAACAATGGCAAAAGGGTCGGCTGGCATTGGCTGATATGAAGCAGACGACTGCTGAGCCCGAGGCATAGCTGAATAGGCTTCTCCTGGCTGCTGCTGCTGCTGCTGCTGCTGCTGCTGGTGATGGTGGTGATGGTGTGGCGGCGGCGGCGGCTGCGGCTGCTGCTGACTCAGGCCAGGCTGGGGGAGACGGTAATGATCCCCCTGGTGAGCCTGGTTAGCAAGGAAATGCTGCTGCGGCCTAGGCAGGTGAGCTGAGTGGTCTCCTTGGTTTGGGACCAAGGGGTGTTGGGCAGGAGATAATCTAGTGGATGGTGGAGACTGCAGCAAGGGTAAGGAACCCCCAGACGTGAGGGAAGAAGTAGGGCTGTGAGGCTGAGAGTTCCGGGCTGACAACGGCAATGAGATGTCCTGCGCTGGCCTGGAAAACATGGAGGGTGTGCTCAGGTTAAGCTCCCTCTAAAGGCACTGGGGAGAGGGACACAAGAAAGGGAGATGAGGAGGCTTCCAGGGCCCCCAGGCAGCTGAGAAATGAGGAGCAGGAAGGGTTAGACTACGGGGTCCTGTGAATACCTGACCGACAGAGGTGTGATCCCATGCAGGATGGAACCAGATGATCTCCAGGGTTGCTTTGTGAAAATCTAAGCGATGCATCCTTGTACACTGGTTATTCAAGGGGAAGCATTTCAAATTCGTCTTCAGCTAGGTAATTGTCACCTCAGGATTTTAAGCTAACTCTTTGCTGGCATTCTATATGTGGCCCAGCACACAGAAAGAGTCACAGTTAGAAAGTTCGTTCCACTTGTGCAGAAGGAAACGGCAAACCGTCATCAAAACAACCCTTCATCGTGTTATCTGCAACTTTCTTGGATAATTCATATAGTCACAAAAAATTACTTGAGGATATATAGGTACTTATTACATTAGAGACACCAAATAATTATTGTTGATTACAGTTAATAATTGAATGATGCCTTTTAGTGGCAATAATCCCAAGATTTGGAGGGGATTACAGGCAACACTACCATACTATTTTTGACTTAACTGAATCACAAAATGTAAGGACTGGAAAGGCCTTAAAGAAATCCTTTAGTTCAACTCTGTCATTGGACAGAGGGGGAAACTGAGGTACAGAGAGGGGAAGTGATCTGCCAAATATTACAGGGTGAGTTAGTGGCAGTTCCAGGGTAGAACCTAAGTCCCATCTTCTGGTTCTTTCCACTACTATAATGCAATGATTTCCACTGATGTTCAGATTCCCAGCCTATTGCTTATAGAAAGTTCTAGAAAGAGAACTTTGGTACGTGGTTTAATGTGACTCTTCCATTTTTGTACCTAATACTGGACTATCAGCCATTAAGGGAAACAATCAGAGTATTCAGATGGATCACTTCTACCATCACCACGACCAGGAAGAATAGGTCGGTATACACTGAAAACAAAAAAACTTGTTCACCCCCTAGCCCATGCCCAGCTACCCTCATATACTCCCACATCCTGTGGATGCCTGTCCTACAGTTGATATTTCTCAATCCAGGGAAGGCAGATGGCTAAGAGCACAGGATTTGGATCCCAACAGAGTTTGGAGACCTTTCCTACCGCTTACTAGCTGTGTAACCTTGCTCAAGTTACTTCATCTGCATGAACTTATTTTGTTCCCGAGGTCACAAATGAATTACAAAAATACTGGACTCTTCTCAGTTTTGAGCTCCATAGGAATTACAAAGAGTCTCATATCTACCTCCCAATGAGAATGGCTGACCCTGTTAGTGATTTTACTTATGGGATATCCACTTAATCTTTGCACTAAACTGCATAAAATTTGTGGTGAAACTGGGACGCATCACCAGGAGCAATTAACTTTTAACAGGCATTCCAGATGCTAAAGCACATCCCTCCCACACATACTCCAGTTGTCATTACTGTTCATTTATCTCTCTCTACAAGAGATCCTCACTATGAGGGATTTTTACAGCTACAAAACCATTCCAAACACTTGCTCACAGATATCCAATAACCCAGATGTTCGCCAGAGCCCTCGAACCTGCTCAAGCCGAAGGTTGTCTCTCAGCCCCATCAATGTGTCTGGTGTACCCACATTCTTCCAATTTCACACATCTGTCACTATAAATAGTTGTTGAATATTGAAGAGGGAAAAGTTTTTGTAGACAGAAGAATTTACATGGTTTTTATGATTACAACTGGAAAGTTGCTACCATACATAACCGTTATGTCGAAGAGCTCAAAGCACTCATTCAATCAAAAGCCTGGGAGCTGTTTATAAACTTATTTGGGGGAGAGTCTTTCTGCATTTTTCATGCTGTGCATCTTCAGTTTCCTCAGAGGTAAAATGGACTATGTGCTCTCCTTCCACTTCTAGTAAGAGCTATTATAATTTATATATATCCCTAGAGTTAAAGCATGATGTCCTGAGATTTGCTGGGGCTTTTGTGTATCTTGTGCAGAAAAGAGGGGCTTAAATTTCATGTTCTTCAATCCAGCTTTCAAATTTTAAGGGGTAAATGACCATATTAACCTTCATCCTCAGTGCCACGGTTTGGAAACCCAAGGCCCGGGAGGTGTTCTCTTTTAAAGACTGAATGCCCAGTTGTGAACTGGGCCTCCTTCCCACAGCTCCCCTGGGTCCCATCAGCAACCCAGACCTCTCTCTCAAACAGACCAGCCACTGGCCTCCCTCCTGCCCTGGCCTCCCTCCTGAAAGGCCTCTCCATGCCCTGGACAGAACATGGCCTCCCAGGGGCCTCGGGAATGGAGAGACCACAAGGTCTCTGGGAGGAGGTCTCCAGGGTAGGATAAGCCCAGGATGGCAGTGGCCCCGGCCACGACTCTGGGCTCTGCCTAAAGATAAGTGGACAAAAGGCAGCTGCCCCTTGGGTTCCCCAGGCTGGAAAAGGGAGCAGATTTCAGTGCATCGTGATGTTGGGAAAACCAACGCAGTCCGTCCCTGGCAGGTTTGCAAACACGAAGCAAGGTTTGGGCAGTCGCAAAAGGAGAGAAAGCCCTCCAGCCAACGAACTCCATCTGGACTCCGGCATCCGCCCACCATGAAAAAGTAGGACAGTATTAACACTCCTGTGAATTTCCCCCTGAGAGAAGGGGACTGAGAAATGACGGGAGTGGGAGCGAGCAGGGGGAATGTCAGAGGAAGCAAAACTACACTCAAGATTAAAAAATAATCAGAGTAATAGTAATAATAAAGGTGGCAGCTGGGTGAGCGGCACACTCCCCAGGTCCTTCCACCGCACAGCAGCAGGAA